CCTACAGACATGAAACACCACCTGGTCACAGAGACATGATGGTTAACAATCAATACAGAACTTCAGGCTGTGCAAATGTCATGATTTTTGATGGAAACATCCCAAACTGATTTTCTTCTCTGTGGAACTGTTTGGATATGCACCGTTTTGGACTCTTCAGTTGGATTTCTGGTAGGAAAAAAAAAACCCTATTTCATAAACTGCTGGACACTTTGCTTAAAAATATGATACCTCTGGATTTCTTTGCATCCCTTGCTTTACCTAAAAGCCTTCTAAGTAAGCTTTCTTCCCCAGTGGTATCCAGCACTGGTTGGCATTAGGGATTTCATTTTGCTTACGTGCAGCATCCCATAGAGTACACTACCCACATTTTGGTGAGCAAAGCATTTTCATAAAAATCAAGGATTCTCCCCATATTCTCAGCATGGCAAAGCCTTCCCACCCCACTCTCCTGTACTTTGTTGCAATTAAATCTTAAACTCTGGGGCTTCATCACACCCAACTTTCCCCTCTCATCATTTCCTACCACAACTACCCTGGGAAGGTGCGAGGGTGTGACCCAGCATCGAGGGCAGCTTCCAGCTGGGTCTGGTCTCCAGGCTGCTGGTCCATCACTCGGTCTTTGGAAATCGTCATTGCATAGCTGAGATGCCAGGAGGCTGAGTGTAGTATGCAATTAGCGTCACACGAAAACAAGTGCCTTGTCTAGTCCATGCCCTAGGGGCTATTTGATCAAGTAATTAGATCATTACTTCTGGGGCTGAGAGGGACCCAAATGCGGCACTATCCACCTCTTTTCCTGTTTACTCAGGAAGGTGAGTGCTTCATGAAGCACGATAAGTGAGCTTCTGAATGCAATTAAATCTGAAAAAGAGGAACTAGCTGTGGTTATGAAAAAAATACCTCATCTGTTTTTTCTTTTGCCTTCTGACTGTTGCAGCTATCTGCTTTGAGTTTCCCAGTATTTTAGAATAGGAATCTGACCTTCCTTAGGATTTTTTACATTACCAAATAAAACTGTGTCCTGATCTCTGAGGAATACATCCTTGAGCTCAGAGCACATTGCCTGACAGAGCAAGAGCTGTGGCCCTGCTCCATTTGCTTATGCTGAACTGCAATTTTCTCCCTAACTGTTACAGCAGTTTCATAGGTGTAGTATAAACAAACATTCAGGTGTTCAGGGAGGAAGGATCTCTGTTTCTTTTCCTACGGCACAGTCTAGTGAAGTTCACCTGGAAATTAAGTGTCTGCTCTCTGCTAACGGTCTCAGCCTTTTAAAATCTGAATTTCTACGTTCATATGAAGGATTAAATGTAGTACAAGCACCATGCCTTCAGAAGGATGCTACAGAAAAGTAGTTTAAGGGACAATCTTATCTGAATGCTATTTTTTTTCCACCTACAGTTTCGTATTTCCCAGAAGATTGTTCCATTTGATTTGGGAACAGGAGCAAAGGAAATGGTTTCTTGCACAGAACCTTTTTAGGAGTTTTAAAGGAGTTTTGGAGTCAAATCAGACCTCCACAGAGTGGTGATTAGGAAGTCTTCATTTGTTTGGTGTTTCCATTGCATGGCATTTGTGCTTAGGAGCACCTGACGAGGTTCAGACACCCACTGTGGCAAGTGCTACACAACCGGTGGCAAGAGCCAGGGTCTGCCACAACCCGTTGAGAGCGAGGAGGGCGGAAACAGAAGCGCTGTGAGGGTGCAACGATTTGCGTGAGGCCGGATCTCCCCAACCTGCATGCAATGCCACGTCCGTTGGGTACGATTTATCATGTCCCACTATTGGTCGGACTCCTCTACCAGAAAAAGTGAGACAACGATAATTGCAGGTTACTCACCAGCCAGGTGCCCTGGGGCATCTTTAAAGAACGAGCCAGTGGGTGCTCCCAGACAGAGCTGCACCCACGTCTGCTGTTTCGGCAGCTAGGCTGGCTTCCCATGCAGTCTGCCACCCCGTCTCTCCTCCCTTCAGCAGTTGCTGCTAAACCCCATCCCACGCTGCACCGTCTCTGCTCTGGAAACCTGCAGAGCACTACCCTTGGCCTGCGTAACAGGGTGACTTTGAGTCCCTGAGGATGTTGCTTACTCCTGGGCGAGCAATTTGCCAACCAATTTGGTGCTAAGGAGGAAGCACTGGGATCCTGTTAGCAGCTATTCATGCAGGGTTACCAAGACACCTTGCTAACGCTAATAACATTTCTGCAGAACTCAGGGATGAGTGAACCGGTGTCGATCTCTCTGCCCCATGAAGCTTGTCCCCTTGCCACAAGAGAGAAGGAAATAGAAGTCGATTGCAAAAGGCTGAGATAAACCTCTTACACACGGGTGACAGAGTCACGAGGCACAGTCTCCCACATCTGCTCATCTTCCCCTTGTTAGTGGCTTATTTACCCATTGCTCATCATGGAACATTTCATTTCTGCCTGCGGGATGCAGACTCAGCTGGCCCTCAGCTCCTCCAGCTTTGGAGAAGCACTTCAGCAAATGGTTGGGTTTCCAAAGCCTTTTCAAAACCATGGGAGAGCAGTGTTTCCTCCTGACATACAGCATCCGCTCTCCCAGCAATAATCTGGTAGATCCCAGATGAGTCCCAGGTCTCCCGCTATTGCCTTAGACCTTCCTGTGCATTCTGGCAGGAGCTGCCACTCTACAGAGATCAGGCTTTTAGGAAGAAATTAAAGGGAGAAAGCACGAGTCTGGGGGAATGCAGAAGTAAAGGAAATGCTTGCAGAGAGCCCATGCCAAGATAATTTTTTTTTTATTGCTTCATACAAGAAAAGGAGAAGATGGCATGAAAGAACAAACAGGGAAATTCCTCCATCCATATCAGTGCAAAGAAGAATTAAGAACCTCTCTCCCAGGCAACATTCCTGGGGGCACAAAATCAATTAGTTACATGTTACAAAGAAAGGCATCGTTCTTGAGGTAAATGTAGCAGAAATGGTGCAGAACATAAGGAAAACCATTTGAGGATTCACTCTTCCTAGGACAAGAAGGGCACTAGGAAAGCAAAGACATGAGGAAGACGTTGGCAAGTACCATTTTCATTCCTCAGCCTTTGGAGACTCCACAAGCAATGGCACGGCAGAGTGGGGTCCCCTTGTGGCTCCCACCACAGGAGCCCCCACATGCAGCCCCTCAAGGAGCCTTGCATTTACGACAGCAGACATCTGCACATGAGATGGAGTAGCGCTGGCCACAGGCAGAGGCGCATACACCCACGCACGGCGGGGTGGCTTGTGTAACGCAGGCGGTGGGACAGGAATCCACACACTTTGTAACAGCCTGGACGCCCCCACAGCAGGGATCCACGCACGTGGTGGTGCACTTGGTCACTTCCTCGCAGCAGGGATCCACGCACGTGGTGGTGCATTCACTCACACCTCCACAGCAGGGATCCACACACGTGGTGGTGCACTTGGTCACTTCCTGACAGCAGGGATCCACGCACGTGGTGATGCACTTGGTCACTTCCTCGCAGCAGGGATCCACGCACGTGGTGGTGCACTTGGTCACTTCCTCGCAGCAGGGATCCACGCACGTGGTGGTGCACTTGGTCAGTCCACCACAGCAGGGGTCCACGCATCTGGTGGTGCACTTGGTCACTTGCGCACAGCAGGGGTCCACACACTTAGTAGTGCATCTGGTCACACATCCACAGCACGGATCCACACATCTGGTAGCACACACAGATACTCCTTGACAGCAGGGATCCACACATCTGGTGGTGCACTTGGTCACTCTGCCACAGCAGGGATCCACACATCTGGTGGTGCACTTGGTCACATCTCTACAGCAGGGATCTACACATCTGGTAGCGCATTTGCTCACCTCTCTACAGCATGGATCTACACATCTGGTGGTGCGTTTGGTCACTTCACAGCATGGATCTACACACCTGGTGGTGCACTTGGTCACTCTGCCACAGCAGGGATCCACACACTTAGTGGTGCATCTGGTGACACGTTCACAGCATGGATCTACACATCTGGTGCACTTGGTCACTTCCTTGCAGCAAGGATCCAAACACCTGGTGGTGCACTTGGTCACTTCCCCACAGCAGGGGTCCACACACTTGGAGGTGCATCTGGTCACAGTTGCACAGCAGGGATCCACACACCTGGTGGTGCATTTGGTCACCTCTCTACAGCATGGATCTACACGTCTGGTGGTGCACTTGGTCACTCTGCCACAGCAGGGATCCACACATTTAGACGTGCGTCTGGTCACCTCTCTACAGCATGGATCCACACACCTTGTGGTGCACTTGGTCACTTCACAACACGGATCTACACACCTGGTGGTACACTTGGTCACTCTGCCACAGCAGGGATCCACACACTTAGTGGTGCATCTGGTGACAAGTCCACAGCATGGATCTACACATCTGGTGGTGCGCTTGGTCACTTCCTTGCAGCAGGGATCCACACACGTGGTGGTGCACTTGGTCACTTCCTCACAGCACGGATCTACACACGTGGTGGTGCACTTGGTCACTTCCTCGCAGCACGGATCCACACAGGTGGTGGTGCACTTGGTCACTTCCTTGCAGCACGGATCCACGCACGTGGTGGTGCACTTGGTCACTTCCTCGCAGCAGGGATCCACACACTTAGTGGTGCACTTGGTCACTTCCTCGCAGCAGGGATCCACGCATGTGGTGGTGCGCTCGGTCACTTTGCAGCAGCATGGGTCTGCACACGTGGTGGTGCACTTGGTCACGTCCTCACGGCATGGAGGCACACACACGGCAGCGCCGAGGCAGCATGGATCCACACACCTGGCAGTCTGTGTCACACCAAGATTAGCCAGGTTCACGTAAGTGGTGGTGCCCTGAGGAATCGTAGCATAGCAGCAGGGATTCACGCATGGAGGCAAGCACTGGAAGTTACAGATAGCGCCACAGGGATCCACACATTTTTTCACGGGAAAACTCCTCACCAAGATGGTGGGAGGTGGCAGGCGGAGCTGTCTCAGTTGGCAATCATTTTGGCAATGCATCTTTGAGGGAGGGGTAATGTCTGAAAGCAGGAAAGGAATATACTTTGTGGAAAACAGAGACATTCAGCTTTCACAAGGCTATTTTATACACTGAGTTAAACTATACATTTTCCAGTGGAATACTGAGCAATATACTGGGAAAACAGCCTGAAATCCATAGCAGGGCACTAACTCCACATGGAAGCATTCTAGACAAGTTTGTGACTACTGGCTGCACGTACATTTCAAACAACTTCTTCTCAAAACAGGAAAGAAAAGTGTGTTATCTGGACTCAGCTAGATCATATTGCAGGGTCTGAACTCATGCCAGCCCCCACCTGTCTACAGCTCCCCTTGGTTTGGGATTAACTCTTTAACATTTCTTCCCTATTTCCACCTGAAAAGGAGACTACTGGAGACTCCCGATAGTGCCCTGTCTACATGCAGGTCCTCAGCTACAGGAGGAGTGGAGGCTTCATGCTGGAAAACTTCCACATGGAAAAGATCTGACGCTCACAGTGCAGCTGCTTTCCCACCTCGCCCACAGAAGTCCTCCTAGCTCTTCTCACCCAGACTTCCTTCGAGGCATTGCTTACCCTTGCAGCCTGCAAGTCTCCACTTCTTATCTTCCCTCCCACTTTTTTCCTTTGAAGTCCTAGACTTGCCTTTTGATCTCTTCCAAACCCAATAATTTCCTGGTTAAAACGGGGTAGCAATGTCATTGGGGAAAGAGAGAGGTTGGTCCACTCTCAGCTGCCCTGAGATGCATCTTGATGGGGAAAGCACAGCAATTGCAAAACATACAACAAATAAAGACTGGTAGAAGATGGAATGAATATTTACCCTTAGCTCAGCCGCTTGATAAGTACCATACACAAATCTCACTAAGCAGAAGCACTCATAAGTCTTCTAACTTGCTTCTGCAGATAATATTTAAAAATTAAATAACCCCAGCCACTACATTACTTCCCAGCAAGCCAAGAGAGACTTACCCAATTCACCACCAGCAACTAGCAAACGAAACCAAAATGGTTTGAGAAACACTACAATATGCATCCTTTTATATGATTTCAGAGTCCGTGTCTCCGGAAGTGAGGCACCTCAGGGGTATGGAAATAAAATTTTTAATAATCCAGACCCGCTCCACCTCCAGTCCTTCAATTACTTGCTTACATTATAATTTTTAATGAAACCTATGCACTGAGGTGGTACAAGCAACACCATGACTGCTGCCTGCAAGCTTGAATTCTTAATCCACGTATTTCCTATAGGGGATGAGGAATAAGGAATTGATGATGCAGCCTGGAAACAATCCCCCTCAGGATTAAACTTTGTTTTGATAAAAGTTCAATTGGTACATTTTCTCGGACCTTCCCCTGAGACAGCCATAAAGACCAGGATTACAGATGGGATAGGACTCTGTAAGAGGCTTTGTTCTGCTCTACTGTGTAAGTTTGTTTGTTCTTACTAGCGCACAATATGCCTCCTACTAAAAATTTTATTCATAATAATCTGGTCAGAATTTCCCTTGTTGTGGTCATTGACTCTCACCCTGTCTCTGGATGCCTCTCCATTAACACCTTTTAGATAGCTGAAAGGGGCCCCAGGATCTCCTCTAAGTCTTTTCCTTTCCAGGTCTTTTCCTTTCCTTTCCTTCAGCCTCTCCCCATCCATCATCTCCTCAAGCTTCCTGGACCATCTTGGTGGTCTCCACTGGACTCACTCCAGTTTGTTGGAGACTGTCTTGCACTGTGGGCCCCAAACTGGACACAACAACCAGATGTGCCAGATGGAGGGGAGCACTCACCCCCCTGTAACTGCTGGTGTTTGCATCCCACTGCATGGGAACATCCAAGTTTTCTGGGCAGCTTCATAACATCTTTACTCCTCAATGAAGCGCAGTATGCCAGCATAACCAAAATTCATTGTGATTTTGGCCGTTAGCCAAGGAAGAAGGCTTCACACTGTGTTAAGATCTTCAATATCACTTAGGCTCCTTCCAGGACTTCTCCTGCAGTGGCCCATCTCTATGCAGTGACACTCCATGGTGATAAACCACCTGTGTTTGGTGCTCCGACCACAGTGTCCACGGTAGTGGCCCTTTTTGCTTTACTGTCCTCATCTCTATTGTATAGCAGGCTAAATTGAGACTGACACACACTGTTCACAAAAGATAGCAGACTGTCCATGACTGCCGCAGCACGGAGTCACTCTTTCTGCCTGCCACAATTGATGTTCTGGTCTGAAAATGCCTCATTCTAAGAGAGAAGGGAGAGCCAACAAAGGCATTGTCTGCGAGAGATCAAAGACTCTGAAATTTCCTTCCCTGCTCACTCCAAACTAGCCTTAAGTCACTAGGTGACACAAACATCGAACCAGTACTACTTGCAGGCAGAGACGAGGGCATATATAATCTGGAGACAAGGTGTGTTCTTGTTTCTGCACACTGCTCTCCTTTTAAACGTGCATGTCCATGCTGCTGAGCACGGTGGTGTCCAGTGTAGTGGCTTCTGGTTGTGTGAGTTGAAATAAATAAATCTGGGACGCGTGATCACTTCTGTTGCCAGTTCACTGCTGATCACAGTGATTTGAATTAATCTTTAGTATAATTCAGCTGACTTCGGTAAATCAGTGGGCTGAAAGGAAAAGGGTGGTGGTCACTCCTTCTATCACCCATCTGCTTTTCAGGGGTGTACCTGCATGAGGATAAAGGCAACATCATGGCGATGGAGTAGTGCTGTGTTATTTGAGTCAGTGCTTTAGGAGAAAATGCAAAACATCACGAGACCAGTGATGATACAAGAGTTTCCAGAAACACGTCAGGACACCACTGCCAGCAGCACCACATCTGAACAGGACAGTGGCAGTGACATAAAGAGGTCAGATGTGGCTAAAAATAAAAGAATTACCCAGATCCCACATCCCATCCTGTCCCTAATGGCCCTCATGATGTGTTGGGCTGGAGGATGTTTTACCGTCACAGAAAAACTGACCCATGACAGGCCGACTATTTAAGAGCAAGTTGAGAGACCATTCATTTCCCAAATTCTTCTCTAGCGTCAGCCCCGCTGAAAGGACACGTGAATTCGCGAGCCATCTTTGCTCACTTGAGGTTATGCTACAGCCACGGAAATAGCCAGTTTCCATTAAAAATAATTAGTCAAATAATCCATCACAGGGCAGAGGCGGAGCAGGTCCGGGTTAGCGAAGGGTAGCTTGTCTGTGTGCCTGGGGCACCTCACCTCCAGAGGCCAGGCTCTTGAAGACACAAGGCAGATCCCAGGTTGAAGTTGCTGTACCTGCTCACTGTCTTTGTTTGCTGATACTGAGCTGGGTAAGTATCTTTGGGGTTGTACAGATCTAAGCCTGTCGCTGGTGTTAATTTTCTACTACGTGCTGAAATAGATTGCTGCTGCCAGCTGCGTAAGGGAAATTGTTTATTGGCTCTCCCACCTCCTTGGTGATAAGGGTTTGAAAGAGTAATAAGCTTCTTCCTTCGCATTCTTTTGCTGTCGTTCCCATGGATGCTCTGCAAAATGCTTCTTGTTGTCTCAGCGCTGGATTTAGCGGGATAAAAAACCACCGTCTTGCTCACAGAGTGCCTACACGGCAGGCGGGAGCCAAAACTGCTGTGCATGTAGTTATCGTCTAAGTGGTGAAATGGCTGTAGCACTGTGTTCAGCAGCGGCCAAGGTCCCAGGTAAGACTGCCTAGCCTCACGGTAAACCTGAAGAACTGCACCTTTCTTTTACCTGTCTAGCCTGTTGCTCCTTTTAGCCACGGTAAAAGTAGTACAGTGATAGCTGCACCTCTTGCAGCTGCAGCACGATGGGTATTCTCCTGCAAAGGAGGTTCGGGACAAGGAGAAAATGCCTGGAAAAGAGAGGGGACTAACTTGAAGTGTATAAACGTGCTGAAAGAGTTAATCAAATCCACTGCTATCTGTGCAAGAAAATGCTTTTAGGGTGAGGTTGTTTGGCTGAACACAGATTTTAATAAGAAAAGCTGAGTTTGGAAGTTTATACGGAAAAACAGAATGACCAAACTTCTTTTGATAAGGAGGGGCTGCAGAATTCGGGAAAACAAAAAAAAAAAACCAAACAAAAACCCCAATCCAGCAAATTTTCTCTCTATTCCTTATTTCATGACCAAATTGCGGCACAAACAGCAACCATCCTGCTGCAGGATTCACCAGTCAAGAAAATGAAATGTCTGATGCTTTGGGTTAG